CCCCAAAACCCCAAAACCCCAAAACCCCAAAACCCCAGCAATTTCAACAATTATTGAAACTTTTAGGAAAGTGTTGTCAATATTTAGGCAAAATTATTTGAAAATTAGAGTATCTGAAGAGGAATCAGTCTTCTGCTTAACTCTTTTAGTACGTTTGACTCTCCTTTTCTTAGGCTTCTGTGACATTTCAGCTTCTTTTTTCTTCCTTTGAGCTTTGACAACTCTTTTCCGAGTTGTTTTTTTTTGGCTTAGAAGTTTCTGCATCTTTCTTTGTACGCTTTTTACTTTGAGTTTGCTTCTTTGTAGTTGGAACTTTTGAAGATTTCTGAGGTCCATCATTCTCAAATACACCAAGAAGAGCACAAGCTACCTCAACACAAGGAATGAGCTTTTCAGGATCAACACTGAAAGGGTCTTTTCAGTATAATCTTGAGTGAGGGTTGTTAAACTTTAATTTTTCAAACTTTCCTAACTTTTTATCCCTATTTTTCTTGTATTCGAAAGCAGCCCACCTGAGAACTTTGACAAACTGAATCTTTATAAGATCCATCGTGAAGTTCGATTTAAGGCCTTCATGGATAACTTCCCAGTCATTCGGAGCAATGGCGTATAACTTAATTAGCTTCTGGATCATGCTGTTTTTCCAAATGCCACTTTTGTTATTCCAAAGGCCATATGTATGTAAAAATTCATTATATTTGAGCACAGGGCTGATTTTGGTGCCCTTCAGATGATCATAGTCGTTATGCTTATTCATCCTCTGGTATCTTTCCACTTCTGATGCACATCTGAGGCTGACATTTCCACTGAAATTAGTCTTACAGGACTCAATCTTGGTAATAGTGAATTTGTTGCATTCTTCTTTGAATAGATTCTTCTTTTTGATGTTTTGGGATAAAGGGAGAAGGCCTTTGAATAAATCTTTTGATTTCACAGACTTTTCAGAGGCTTCTCTTTGTCTTGATCCTCTCTTTACACTACTGCGCTTGGAATTTGATTTGGTAGTAGTCTCTCTGTTTGGGCAACAGATTTTTTTGAAATACTTAATACGTTCGATAATTTCTTCATAATGAAATCCTTGGATTGGTTCAGCTACCTGTCTAAGATGCGAGATCCATGAATCGAAAATATATTCGTCAAGTTCTCTTTGAATTTTTTGGGGGTAGCTGGTCTTTCTAGAAGATACTCTGTGTCGCTGACTGCTTCTTTTACAACTATTATTGTTATTCGTTAGAAGCTGCTTTGTTCTACTCTTGTTTCTGATGTATGAAATTTCTTCATACTCTTCCTTGATCTTTTTACCTGCATTTAAGATTTTTTTTTGGTGACTTTTGTCTGATAAAATTTTCTCTTAGAAGACTTAGACTTATTGCAACTACGATATTTTGAAGACTTTGACATAGACTTCTGCTCATCCTTGACTTCTTTCTTAACCACAGAGAACTCTTGCTTAATCATATTATAATACATATCAGTCTCTTCTTTAAGTCTTTCAGAACATGCTGATTTTTGTGATCAGTCAACACTCCTTGACTTCTTGCTAATAATCTCTTTCTTAATTTCAAATTTGGCTACATCTCTAATATCCTGATTTCTTCCTTTCTGCTCTTTTCCAGCTGGCTGTCCTTCACTAAGTTTGATTTTAACATAATCGCAGAATCGGTGTCTACAGGCTCCGGCACTTCTTCCAGGAAGTTGTTTGGCAATGGCTACCCATATATTCCTGCCTGTAGCTATCTCTACTAGTTTCTTCAGCCGCTCGTCTTCCTCTGTGGTCCAGAAATTCTTCATTATGAGTGAAAATGACTTTTTCAGTGTCTGATTTCATCATGGCTAAATGGGGTTATTAATTAGACTTGGAACAATCTTTTGCAGCTTACAGTAAAAACGTAATTATTTAAGAAGCTTTCTCTGAACCAGATGGCTTCGCTTGGTCGTCTTGGGCACTAAGCTCACATGGCACTGAAACAGAAGCAGGCTTTGGAGAAGAAGGATTTTGAGATTTGAAGAGGTTCAAAAGTTTTTGGTGCTTGGATTTGGAGTTTCAATCTTCATCGTCATCAGAATTGTCTGAATTTAGGGATGTAGGGTTTGAAGTGGCTGTAGAGAGTACGGTAGGCGATTTGTGAGGGGCGAGTAGGAATTTTAGAACAGGGAAGTACTTAAGTAGGTCTTCCAGACTCTTGTTCTTGCAGTTAAGCTCCTTTAAGCTACTCTTTAGGTGATCTATCTCTGAGTCAATTTTGCTCAGATTTGGAATTTCTCTTTTCTGATAGCGTTTTATAGCCCATTTTAGAAGGAATTTGAATCTTTCTTTAATAGAACACCTTAGTTCTTCAGGGAATTTCTTACTGATTACTGTCCATAAAGGTCCGCAAGAGGAGAATGCATTTATAAGAGCGATATCATCACTGGACTTCCACATTCAAACCTTTTTACTAGCTTTCATCGACACCAAGAATTTGCTGAGTGATATCACAGATTCATTCATATCTTCTTGGATAGGTTCCTTTTTAAAGTTTTCTTCTCCTAGAATAGAATCTAACTCATGGCATAGTCCTTTGTTCTTGTTGAGGTCTGTTTTGCTTTCTTCTAGTGTTAGCTTAGTATTGTTATCTTCCATACCCATGTTTGACTTATCTTTTTCATCATCTGTCTCTGATGGAGGGTATATCTCTGGAGCTGTAAATCTGCACACCTCATTCTTTTTACCTAATATTGGAGTTAGTCCCTTCACTGCTAGATGATGCTTAACTAAGTCTAATTTCTTTTGAGCTACGGATCTATCTTCTGTCTTGATGACCTTCATGGCCCCTAAAAGGTTATCCTGGGCTAGTTCTAGCATCCAAGCTACTAATGTAGCTCATTTTTCGTCAAAGGCTTTGTTAGGTTGTGTTTCCTTAACAATCTTAGACTTTGGGGCTGGAATAGGGGAGGCCCCATTTTTTACAGCTCTTCTCCATAACTTAATTCTAGTTACGACTGCGCTACGTGTTCTTCCTGGGAAATGGTCTAAAAATTCTTTTGTGTATTTCGTCCTTCCTTCTACACTGACTGGATGCTGTGTGAGTAGCTTTCCTAGCTTAATGATTTCTTCTTGAGTCCACTTCTGGTTCATTTTGGTCAAATTTGTTTGTGATTAGTGATATTTGAGCATTACTCATGTTTGACTTGGAATGTGAGAGTGTGGTTAGATGATTCTTTTGAAGTGAATAGTGTCGTTTTTGAGTTTGCTGTTAAACTGGAAAATTAGTGGAGGATTAATTATTATATAGTATAGAATCACAAAGTAATGTTTGGTCTTGAAGAAATGATAATATGAAGAATACATAGTTAAAGTCAAACAAAAAATTCAGAACATTTTAGAATCCAGTATACTTCGATGAGAATTTGAGATTAATGAATATTACTTATTTAATATCTAAAGGAAATTGGAAAAATCAAAGTTGAGCTAAAATCAAAACAAAACCCACATTATTAGTGAAATTTGTCATACTCTATATTAAATTATGAAGATATTTAGCAAGTAAAATTTTTTCAAATAAGTCTATACAAAGGTTCTATACAAATTCACTCCTCTTTTAAGACGTTTTACCATCAATTATCTCTAATACCTACACAAAATTAATTTTCTTCAACTTCCAAGCCTCATCCTGGGGTTTTGGGGTTTTGGGGTTTTGGGGTTTTGGGG